GCCTCCCTACATGTCTGAAGCTCTGTGACCCTCTCTGGGCTGGACAGCAAGACCACTTGACACAAAGTGGGTCCTAGCTGATGCCCAGGGCCTGTAAGGAACTCCCGTTGGCAGGACAGGAGAACAGGTAGTGGTTGGCACAGTCGGGGCACAGATGGGGCCAGGACCTGGGGAGACCAGCTGCCTCCCTCCTGGGTGCCACCTGGCCTGGGGGGGTGACCCAGAGGGAAAGAGGAGAGATGAATCCCCGGAGCCCAGAGCCAGGCGCCCTCGCTGGGAAAGCAGGACTCCTCAGGTCATTGGCTGAGTGTGTGTAGACCCCACCTGTTTGCCCGAGAAGACCGGACACCGGGGCTTATGGGATCAAAGCGGTAGGGGGGCGGGGCAGCTGGCGGGGGCCATGGTCCACACCCTCTGCAGCCACCAACATGCTGCAGGAGTGGGTGGGGGTCCGGGAGTGCTGCTGAATGCCTGCAGCCTGAGTGTTTGGGGTCTGCAGCAGTGGGCATGATAATCCACCCTGGTTAAACACTCAGCTGCTGACCTAAGGCCCAGGGCAGAGTGGGTGAGGAGCATGGACTAGACGGGCTAGTGGGACCTCAGAGACCAGGGCCCTGGGAACTGCCCCAGCCTCCATGCTCAGCCCGACAGCAAGCAGAGCCCTCCAGAAATAGACTCACTGCAGGCGAGCCGATGCCTACTCACAGTCCCCCTACAGGGCAGGCTAGGACTGACCCTGGCGTGTCCAAGCTGTCGGTCTGCGTAAGTAGAAAGCCCGTCTTTAAAGGGAACAGTGACACTTGGGGTCTTGGGGGGACGCACAGCTCAGAATCAGTCGCCATTTGGGATCAGGAGGGCAGCAGGGCAAAGGGCGGAGACTTGAGGGACAGGGATGCAGGAGGACCAGGAAGAGGACACACAGGGAGGGCATGGGGCCATGATGTTGCCCTGAGGGCAGGGACATCAAGGAGCTTGCAGTAAAATGAATGTGTCGAACAGAAACGGGTGGTCTGCTCTGCCAACCTTCATCTAATTCAAAATAGATCGTTCTTTTAAAAATCCTCACTTAAAACTCGTCCCCACCATAAAGCACCCAGAGAGGACAGACCAGGTGGCCTTGGGAGCTCTTGTCCAGGTGGGTCTACCTGAGCAGGCCAAGCAGCACCCCCACAGTCCGGGGTCACCAGCTGCACACCTGCCTCCTCCAGGCCTTCCTTCACCCACTGAGAACATGTTCAGGTGACTGAAGACGGAACCACCCACCTCTGCCCACGGGCGCACAGAGACGGGACCACCCACCTCTGCCCACGGGCGCACGGAGAGCCTCTCTATTCACGGAGGGTGTCCCACTGCGTGTGAGGGGCGTGCTGGCTGGAGATTCGGGTTCTCTATGACAGTTTCCTACCTGCGCTGTGCAGGGTCCCTGCTCTCCTTCGGATGTTCCTGTTTCCTACCTGCGCTGTGCAGGGTCCCTGCTCTCCTTCGGATGTT